GTTCAAGTTCAAGATATTTTATTAAGTATTTCAAGGCCAACTAGCCCATAGTACAATTTGCACAGTACATAATAACCATATTCACACAATTTTTACATCAAAAACAATTTCTGCAAAGTACCTTATAACGTACAATTTACTAATATATAGCACTGACTTCCGATTTAATAATACTAAATTTGTGATGTCACAGATATAATATAATTTGATCTTGCTTCAAAAGCTAAATATACAAATTTAGCAACATTTCTTAATTTATCTTCATTTCCAGTTATTAACATATATTTTGCTTCAACATAGTTTTCCAATGCACACATTTGTCTTATATGTTCATATAATGGACAGTGTAATAAAAAATGATATTCATCTTCAATGAGTCTTGTATTGTTTGTATATAAACAGTAATTACATAATCTTTCTTCCCTTGGAATTTTTAGTTCACGACCTTTTTCAATAAATAATTCATGACTGGATACACGCAGTCTGGTTAGAGCAATTTTATGAGACTTATTTGTAATACAATATAAGTATCGTTCGGGTTCAATTAAAGTTTTGACATCCGAGTAAAAATTTAGTTTATTAGAGTTATTTATTCCAAAATCCCATTCTTGCATACAAGTGTCTTTTACTCTTTGGGTAAACAGTCTCATAAAACTATTTACATCGCCAACTTCATGATATATCCATACATAATGAAATCCATATTTGTACAACAGATCTCTAATATTTGTATAATAAGTTACTCTTCCAGCATTGTGGAAATTTACTAACATATCATAGCACCTTCTTGGATATCTAGAGGTGTCCATACTTAAAAAAAATAAACCAATACTTTAATAACTTTATACACTTTTTATAATAAACAACCCACATGGGATGTCTCCCTAATTCCAGAACAGCCAAGTTTGAAGTTGATTGCTTTACTCTCAATAGCCTTTTAACAAACTTTGTTTGTACAATTTCTATGCCGGGACTGTAACAATAGCCCCATATTTCAGCACCATATGTTATTACAGGAGTTACCATATGATCAAAGAGATACAATGCCTGCGAACATCCTAAATCATAAGTATTTATGAATCTAAATAAAGTAAACAAAGCTTTCTCTGCTGAAATAACAAGTGCTTCCTTAGTTTTATTCCACTTAAGAAAACAAGTAAAGTACATACCAAGGTATTTGTACATTTGTACCACTTCTGTTCTTTCTCTGTTGAAAAACCATTTTTCATTCTTCTTCAAAATTCCTCCTCGTCTAAAAACCATTACCTTAGTTTTGGTAAGATTTACCATCATACCATACATTTTACAAAAGGATTCAATAATTCCTATTTGTTTTTGTAAACCCTCTCACTTATTAACAGATTACTGTAATGCTACACTTGTCCTTTTTAAATTTGGTTGAAATGAAAATGTAACTTTGACAGGAGAAAAAAAGCAAAAGTTTGAATCCTAATTTCTATTACATTTACTATTGGTGTTCTCACTTCCGACTCATTGGATAAATCTTCCAGGAGTAAACAGACATTTCTGGTTAACCCTTAATAGGTAGAGCAATATATATAGGTGTATATAAATAAAGGTATGAAATCTCAACTGTTATTGCCCTGGAAGCATGCTTATGTTTACCTCTTTATGTCAAACTATTTCACATATGCTTATGTTTACCTCTTTATGTCAAACTATTTCACATATGCTTATGTTTACCTCTTTATGTCAAACTATTTCACATATGCTTATGTTTACCTCTTTATGTCAAACTATTTCACATATGCTTATGTTTACCTCTTTATGTCAAACTATTTCACATATGCTTATGTTTACCTCTTTATGTCAAACTATTTCACATATGCTTACCTCTTTATGTCAAACTATTTTACATATGGTTATGCAAAAGATATCTTTGACCTTTTAATTGTTATGATCAAGGGAATAAGTCTCCAAGGGCAAGGATGGACCTAAGTGTCAACCATTGTAAAGAAATTTTGGATGGGGTACTCAAATATTCTTATTTAAGGATATCTAAACTGCATACATGGTATAACCAAGGAACTAAGTCCCAAGGTCAATTCCTGATAGCATGATTGTACATACTTAGTTATAGGGTAGGGATCTTAACCTGTCTATCTCATGACCATGGAACTTATTCTCCAGCGGCAGTGCCGGACCCAAGGCCCAATCCTAGTGGCATATTTGTATCCATCTCTTAATGACAAGCAATTGTATCAATGGATATAGGGTGGATAGTCACATACTGTTCCAATGTTATGACCATGAGACAGATTTTTCATTACCAGTATTCAATTGCCCTTTGGATGGGAACAGACCAGAAAGACAAATTGAGGTTGCAGATGTAATTGTCAAATGATGTCTGGCAAGGTTATATATAGTTATATAGAGTTGGAACCTCAAGTGATTCTCAGCTATAACACAAAATGTCTTTTGGCCAATGTCCCTGAGATGGAGTAGAACTATGAACAAATTCTGGTTGTAAATACGTATTATATACCGTGAGCTTCTCTATTTTCCCCAGCTATGGCCTAATTTCTCCATTGGACCCAACCCCAGGATCTAAACCTGCTGCCTGACCTCTACCTTCATTAAATATAAACCTGCTGTCCGACCTCTACTTTCATTACATATAAACCTGCTGCCTGACCTCTACCTTCATTACATATAAACCTGCTGCCTGACCTCTACCTTAATTACATATAAACCTGCTGCCTGACCTCTACCTTCATTAAATATAAACCTGCTGCCTGACCTCTACCTTCATTACATATAAACCTGCTGCCTGACTTCTACCTTCATTAAATATAAACCTGCTGCCTGACCTCTACCTTCATTACATATAAACCTGCTGCCTGACCTCTACCTTCATTAAATATAAACCTGCTGCCTGACCTCTACCTTAATTACATATAAACCTGCTGCCTGACCTCTACCTTCATTACATATAAACCTGCTGTCCGACCTCTACCTTCATTACATATAAACCTGCTGCCTGAACTCTACCTTCATTACATCTAAACAGGCTGCCTGAACTCTACCTTCATTACATATAAACCTGCTTCCTGAACTCTACCTTCATTACATCTAAACCGGCGGCCTGAACTCTACCTTCATTACATATAAACCTGCTGCCTGGACTCTACCTTCATTACATCTAAACCGGCTGCCTGCCCTCTACCTTCATTACATCTAAACCGGCTGCCTGACCCCTACCTTCATTACATCTAAACCGGCTGCCTGAACTCTACCTTAATTACATATAAACCGGCTGCCTGAACTCTACCTTAATTACATATAAACCGGCTGCCTGCACTCTACCTTCATTACATATAAACCTGCTGCCTGACCTCTACCTGCATTACATATAAACCTGCTGTCCGACCTCTACCTTCATTACATATAAGCCTGCTGCCTGACCTCTACCTTCATTAAATATAAACCTGCTGACTGACCTCTACCTTAATTACATATAAACCTGCTGCTTGACCTCTACCTTCATTACATATAAACCTGCTGTCCGACCTCTACCTTCATTACATATAAACCTGCTGCCCGACCTCTACCTTCATTACATATAAACCTGCTGCCCGACCTCTACCTTCATTACATATAAACCTGCTGCCTGGACTCTACCTTCATTACATCTAAACCGGCTGCCTGCCCTCTACCTTCATTACATCTAAACCGGCTGCCTGAACTCTACCTTCATTACATCTAAACAGGCTGCCTGAACTCTACCTTCATTACATATAAACCTGCTGCCTGAACTCTACCTTCATTACATATAAACCTGCTTCCTGAACTCTACCTTCATTACATCTAAACCGGCTGCATGAACGCTACCTTCAGTACATCTAAACCGGCTGCCTGAACTCTACCTTAATTACATATAAACCGGCTGCCTGCACTCTACCTTCATTACATATAAACCTGCTGCCTGAACTCTACCTTAATTACATCTAAACCGGCTGCCTGCCCTCTACCTTCATTACATCTAAACCGGCTGCCTGACCTATACCTTCATTACATCTAAACCGGCTGCCTGACCTATACCTTCATTACATCTAAACCGGCTGCCTGAACTCTACCTTAATTACATCTAAACCGGCTGCCTGCCCTCTACCTTCATTACATCTAAACCGGCTGCCTGCCCTCTACCTTCATTACATCTAAACCGGCTGCCTGCCCTCTACCTTCATTACATCTAAACCGGCTGCCTGAACTCTACCTTAATTACATCTAAACCGGCTGCCTGACCTCTACCTTAATTACATATAATCCGGCTGCCTGACCTCTACCTTAATTACATATAATCCGGCTGCCTGACCTCTACCTTAATTACATATAATCCGGCTGCCTGACCTCTACCTTAATTACATATAATCCGGCTGCCTGACCTCTACCTTAATTACATATAAACCGGCTGCCTGCACTCTACCTTCATTACATATAAACCTGCTGCCTGGACTCTACCTTCATTACATCTAAACCGGCTGCCTGCCCTCTACCTTCATTACATCTAAACCGGCTGCCTGAACTCTACCTTAATTACATATAAACCGGCTGCCTGCACTCTACCTTCATTACATATAAACCTGCTGCCTGATCTCTACCTTCATTACATATAAACCTGCTGCCTGAACTCTACCTTCATTACATATAAACCGGCTGCCTGAACTCTACCTTAATTACATATAAACCGGCTGCTGTTGCTTTTTCCTTTTACCTTTAACTCAAGAGGAGCCATGTATGTCTCATTCTCCTGACCATCCTCGACAACCACCAAGTTTGTCTTTTTAGGGCGACCATTCTTTAGCTGAGTAGCATAGTTCAGTCCCTGAAACAAGTCAAAGTGTCAACATAATTGTATAAGAAAGGTACATGTGATTGTTATGTCCCTATAATATTAGTGTTGAGATATTTTTTTAACTATGTCCCTGTACTGATATTGTGAGACACAGTTCTCTGTCCCTGTACTGATATTGTTGAGATACTGTTCTATGTCCCTGTACTGATATTGTTGAGATACTGTTCGATGTCCCTGTACTGATATTGTTGAGATAATGTTCTATGTCCCTGTACTGATATTGTTGAGATACTGTTCGATGTCCCTGTACTGATATTGTTGAGATAATGTTCTATGTCCCTGTACTGATATTGTTCTATGTCCCTGTACTGATACTGTTGAGATACTGTACTATGTCTCTGTACTGATATTGTTGAGATACTGTTCTATGTCCCTGAACTGATATTGGTGAGATCCTGTTCTATGTCCCTGTACTGATACTGTTGAGATACTGTACTATGTCTCTGTACTGATATTGTTGAGATACTCGGTTCTATCCCTGTACTGATATTGTTGAGATAATGTTCTATGTCCCTGTACTGATACTGTACTATGTCCCTGTACTGATACTGTTGAGATACTGTACTATGTCACTGTACTGATACTGTTGAGACACTGTTCTATGTCCCAGAACTGATATTGTTGAGATACTGTTCTATGTCTCTGTACTGATATTGTTGAGATACTGTTCTATGTCCCTGAACTGATATTGTTGAGATACTGTTCTATGTCCCTGAACTGATATTGTTGAGATACTGTTCTATGTCTCTGTACTGATATTGTTGAGATACTGTTCTATGTCTCTGTACTGATATTGTTGAGATACTGTTCTATGTCTCTGTACTGATATTGTTGAGATACTGTTCTATGTCTCTGTACTGATATTGTTGAGATACTGTTCTATGTCCCTGAACTGATATTGTTGAGATACTGTTCTATGTCTCTGTACTGATATTGTTGAGATACTGTTCTATGTCTCTGTACTGATATTGTTGAGATACTGTTCTATGTCTCTGTACTGATATTGTTGAGATACTGTTCTATGTCTCTGTACTGATATTGTTGAGATACTGTTCTATGTCTCTGTACTGATATTGTTGAGATACTGTTCTATGTCTCTGTACTGATATTGTTGAGATACTGTTCTATGTCTCTGTACTGATATTGTTGAGATACTGTTCTATGTCTCTGTACTGATATTGTTGAGATACTGTTCTATGTCTCTGTACTGATATTGTTGAGATACTGTTCTATGTCTCTGTACTGATATTGTTGAGATACTGTTCTATGTCTCTGTACTGATATTGTTGAGATACTGTTCTATGTCTCTGTACTGATATTGTTGAGATACTGTTCTATGTCTCTGTACTGATATTGTTGAGATACTGTTCTATGTCTCTGTACTGATACTGTTGAGATACTGTTCTATGTCCCTGAACTGATATTGTTGAGATACTGTACTATGTCCCTGTACTGATACTGTTGAGATACTGTTCTATGTCTCTGTACTGATATTGTTGAGATACGGTTCTATGTCTCTGTACTGATATTGTTGAGATTCTGTTCTATGTCTCTGTACTGATACTTTTCTGTATCTGTACTGATATTGTTGAGATACTGTACTATGTCCCAGAACTGATATTGTTGAGATACTGTACTATGTCCCAGAACTGATATTGTTGAGATACTGTTATATGTCTCTGTACTGATACTGTTCTGTACCTGTACTGATATTGTTGAGATAATGTTCTATGTCCCTGTACTGATACTGTTGAGATACTGTTCTATGTCTCTGTACTGATATTGTTGAGATACTGTTCTATGTCCCTGTACTGGTACTGTTCTATGTCCCTGTACTGATACTGTTCTGTATCTGTACTGATATTGTTGAGATACTGTTCTATGTCCCTGTACTGGTACTGTTCTATGTCCCTGAACTGATATTGTTGAGATGCTGTTCTTACCTTTATCTTCTCCCGATTGGTTGATCCTTCCCCATTCCAGACAAACATCAATTGGTTTTTTGGAACATCAAGTATAAATACATCACCCTTGTTCATTTCTGACCAGGAAACGTTGGCAACCTACCAATACATCAAAACATGGTCTGCATACAAACCGCATCAAACAAGCTTCAATAAATATGACTATTTCCTCCCCAATGTTTGCATAGTATACATACAGCATAAAATATTATATATCTTTACTACATTTATGCACATCTTAACAAGGGGCTGTCTACTTTTAGCATGGCACTTCTGATTTATATAATCACAACATTCCTGAGCAAACTAGAACTGTCACCAGAATGGCAGAATTCAATACCCTAAAACTAAGAATTTAAACAAAGGGGCGAAACTATATAAATCAAAGAAGTTACCCCAATCTATATACTTTATTCACATCTCCGCAAGGTAATTCATTCGTACCAATCAAATCAGTTCAGCTAATACTATTGAAAAGGAGGGGTCAAAGGTGCAGAGCTCCATTTAATGAAGAAGTTGTTAAAAGATTTCAACATATTTGACCCCTGTGCCCTTGAATATGGGTGAAGTTCATTCATTTGAACAAACTTTTTAGCCTTTATCTCAGAATGCTACTGGCCAAATATCATTTCCCTGGGCATTTTGGTTATTGAGAGGAAGTTGTTTAAAAGTTTTTAACATATTTAACCACTGTGACCTTGAATATGGGTGAAGGTCATTTATTTGAACAAACTTGGTAGCCCTTCACCCCCAGCATGCTACTGACCAAATAGCATCACCCTGGGCATTTTGGTTATTCAGAAGAAGTTGTTTAAGGATTTTTAAGACAATTGACCCCTGTGACCTTGAATACTTCAGGCCCATTTGGGCATGAATTGCCCACCTAGTATTAATCTCACATTTGCAATCTTAAAAGTGGACTAAAATACCGCTACAGGCAGAATATCAGTATTTGATTCATAAGAACCTATAAAAAGATTTAAATATATGACGCCTGTGCCCTTGAATGTCGAACAAGGACATTAGGTTGAACAGAGTTTAAAGTCTTCAAACCCAGCATGCTTCTAGAAAAATATCATTACCCTGGACCTTTTGGTTATAAAGAACAAATCATTTAAAGATTTAAACATATAGTGACCACCACTGGTGGACCCTTACCGTGTATTTTTTTCATTTTTTCGTTTAATTTTCAAAAATCGTTTAGTTGTTCTCTTTTTGTGTGTATTTTTTGGATTATAGTTTATATTTGACGAGTCACCGTTTATTGTTTAAACCGACGTTTATTCTTCGCAGACTTGTGTTTAGTTTTGAGTATAACAGTTTGTTTTATAAATGCATGTTAACTTTTCACGGAACAGAGTTTGTTTTATAACTACATGTTTACTTTTCTTGGCCCAGTGTTTGTTT